CCTTTATATTTATATAGTTCTAAAAGTTGTGTAAATGTGAATACATGTGTTCTTTGTTGTTTTGTTTGAGAGTAACATTGTTCAATGTAAAGTAAGTGTGAAGTAGATTGTAAGTGGATTTCCACAGTCGTACATGTGATGGCAGACTTTGGTCACAAGGCGGCAGCATTGAGTAGTATTGTTGTTGTTCCGCCAAGTGCATCATGGTCTTTCTTCCTGTTAATGTGCGATGGACGTACAAGGGATTGGTGCGGAGACTTCGTTGTGTAGAATAGTAGGTAAATGCATGCATGTCTTGTAAAATATTCATGTACAAGTGTATAAAATGTAATCACCTGTCAATATTTTAACTAGACAGTTTGATTTAGGCACTACTGGAATTGTATGCTGGGATTTTGGGCGCCAATCGTCGACCATTGTGTACTAAATTTCATGGTAATGCTAACATGCATTTAGTCAGACCCTGATATTGTATTTTGGTACTCGGAAACTGTTGCAGGTTTTACATAAAGTGTAACTCTGTTTGAAGGTAATTGACGTTGAAAGTACGTTGAGTTGTGCGATCTCCGGGAAGTTCCACGTGGGTTTGGTGGAACTTGGTGAAGTGTAAGTGTCATTTACAGTTGTACATTTTATACACTGATGTTGATATAAGTGGGTTTATGGTTGTTAACATGATTTATTTTATGTTTTCTGTCGATGGTCATAGCCCACTGCCGTATTTTGTATTGTGTTTTTTTTAATTTTATTTCTCTGCATTTTATTTTTATTTTGCCTCTTCATTCATTCCAACATTTGGGTGTTAGAGACTGTTACAAAATCCAGCATTTGAGCTGTTACGGGAACGACCCAGTAGCATACCACTCTGTAAATTGAACTGTACATGTGGTCAGGAATAAACCTGGAGCTACAGGAACCCCTGAAGTAATTGTGTCCTGGGTGGCATCTAATTCCACGGGCTACAATAGTATTATAGTATAAGTTTCTATTCTAGGTCATAGGGGGCAAAGAAGCTAATTACATATAATTTTAATAAGTTAAATAATGAAGGCATACCCATCTGAAGACACATCAAAAGGGACAATCCTAAAAAAAATTACATTTAATTTCAGTTTTAGTGATAGACCCCTACCTCTGAATGAATTAACAACTGAAAGAATATAACTTACCAGCCAAGATTGATAGTCGAGCCATGTTGTTTCAGCTGAGTGACCTAGAACAATAAAAATAGTTGTGTCTTGAATATTTATAGGATTGCATTATAGTTTTTGTAAACTGCAACCAATTCTACTGACTGTACTAGAACAAGAAGATACTTTAATGTCACATACACACAGTGAAATTCATTCTCTGCATTTAACCCATCCCTCAAGGGAGCAGCAGGCAGCCTGTGTGAGGCAATGTCTGGTCAATGGAACTGATTGGAGAACCTAACATGTTTTTGGTGGTGGGGGAAACCCACACGGACACGGGGAAAACATGCAAACTCCACACAGAAAGGCCAGGAGGACCGGGGTTTGAACCCACGACCTTCTTGCGGTGAGGCCACACTTCTATCCGTGCCACCCATTTTAGTAATGCTGTTCATAATACAACATTTGTTCCTGTAAAATGTAGGCTCCTAAATCCTCTGTGTGCTGATCACTTACCTCTTCCCAGGTGTTGGGCTGGATTTGCGTATATGATCCACTTGGGAGTCGTTTTTATAGACCTAGATAAGACAGGTACAAAGGCTGCATTCCTGGTGAACCTGTAATGGATGCTTCAGGAGAGAATAATTGTCACTGTGAAACTGGTCACTTTAGACTGTAATGAGCTGTCAGAAGACGAATGGTGATGATATATGTTTTTATTTCCAGATAAATCTGGATCAGAGCACTTGAGACTATGTAAACTTGCCTATAAAAAGTAATTCAGATCAGAACAGCTGGCCAATCAATGCAGATAAGATGTCACTGTTGACCTTTTTAAGACATTTCGACATCCATTTAAAACATCAAATACAGTAGGGCTATGACTAACAATTATTTAAATTATCAAGTATTTTTTCAATTAGTCAGTTGGTTCATCCATGAAATGTCAAACAATTATGAGAATCATAATTTTTCACAGCCCAAGGTAACATCTTCAAATTGGTTGTTTTGTCAGATGAACAGTCCAAAAAAGATATTCAGTTTGCTATCATATATGCCATGTTGCAATTGCTCACATTTGAGACACTGGAACAAGAAAATGTTAAGTATTTTAACCAGATTTCTTTTAAATTAATGAACTAATTGTATTCATACATACAATATAGTTTATATTTTCTCAACCAGACCTGTCATTTTCACTTTCAGGAATACAATTTACGGCATTACACCTGTGTACAAGACCTAAATAAGCTGAATAAATGTTGATAGAGTGCAAAGCTTCTTAATATTGATGCATATCTTGGATGATCCTTGTGAAACAAGTCTAAGAGCATCCTATTTGGAAAGACTATTTTCTAGCATGTTTTGAACAAACTAAACAAAAGAAAAGCCTTTTATCTTAATATATACTTTGACTTTGAAACTATGATTTTGTCTTTTCTTTATGTAATCAGAAGGGTGAAATAATAAAAAGTCATTATAGTGTTAAGTCCAACGATATCAGAGTCTACAGTAGTTGTAGTCTACATCAGAGACCTGATAGACTAGAGAGGTTATTAGTTAAGATATCCCTCATTTATGATACCTTGATGACATAACTGGAGTTACTGGATCTTGTGTGGCAACAAATAGTTCAGAGTTTAGAATGATGGATTTTTTTTTTTTTTGATTTTGCTTTTGTTGTTTGAAAGACCAATTGATGCAACAGAAATAAGGAACAGTTTGACATTTAGGGTAATATAAATTCACTTTCTTTCTTCGTTATGTGAGAACACTGATACCACTCACATCTGTATGTTAATTATGAATGGAGTTACCTTTGTGAAAAAAAATAGGTTTGACAGTACAACTATCAACACTCACAAACGTGTCACTGGCCTGCTTCCTGCTTTCTTACAGTGCAGATGCTTTGCTGCTTGCTCCTGCCTCTGCAGGTATTCTTGTTTTTATTCTGCTAGAAATTATGAGCAGTGGCTCTTGGATACTTTTAAATAACTGGGACTGTCATCTATTCAGATAAAGTAGGCTATTTCCATACTTTAAACACTTTTATGATCTAAGTGCTATGCGAGTGCAGCCTATCAATAGCACTAGCCTGTACTGCAGTGACTGGAGTTAATAGTAGCTAATGCTAATTAGCAACAAGATGCCACCCTTCTCCACGGACGACTTCCACAAACTTCTACAGAAAATTGCAGTGCTGGAAACCAAGATCCACAGGTAAGAAGTAAATGTGGAAGTGAATGGGCTATGTGGGAATGGCACTACTTCACTATGAAACAAAGAAAGTGGACAAGAGTATGCTAACACATGGCTAATTAACACCAACAAGACTACCAAGAAGCAGAAGGCCTGTGTGCTGGGTAATAAATCTAAAAGTGGTAGTCCTCCCTGGAACTCGCTTAGTGCAAAGCCTAAGAGTAAATAATTTTCCTAGGAAATGGGAGGACACAGGGAGAACCCAGCGCCCTGAGATTTGTGATGTGACTGGCTGGCCTGCATTATCATCCAGGCAGAGTGCCTCTTCAACCCCTGTTCCTAGTAGGACACAGCCGTGGACAGTTGAAAAAGGGAGAGTTAGCAACAGGCCTCCCCAACAACTGAGTGTGCAACAGGAGAACAGATTTTCACCACTATTGCAGGACCCTGGATCTCCGTCTGATGACCTGGATAACACCCCATCCTCACACAGAAGGGTAAGGACCGAGAGTAAATCAGAAAGTAAAAGGCTACAGGGAAAGCTAACGACTGGGCCTCAAACTCTGATTGTGGATGACTCTACTTTGAAAGATGTAAGAGCACCAAAATACTCTGCTTTCCTAAGGATACAGTGTCTGACTTGGCAGAAAGAATTCTGCATATCGTGGCTGAACTTCCTACTGTGAAAAACATCATACTACACATAGGGACCACTGATGTTGTGAAGCCACAGTCTGAAGTATTAAAAGAGGACTTTAATAATCGGTTGAAGACAGTGAGCTCTCTGAATGCAGAGGTTTTTATCAGTGGCCCCCTACCACCAATCCAAAGAGGAGTTGAGAGATTCACCAGGTTGTTGGCATTGAACACATAGCTCTCAACGGCATGTATCCCACTTTACAGTGGGATAGCCCTAAACCATCACAGACTTACTAGGAACGCGACTTAAAGTCTGTGAGTTGAGCTTGGGTCAAAAGCTTCAGAAATCACTGAATTCAGAAATAAAATGACTATTTAAACAAGTGAGTTGGTAAATTAAAATGCCATTAAAAAGGTTTGAACAACCTACTTTGGTCATCTGCAGTTCAAATTAAGAAAGTTTGATTAGCAGGTTGAATTCCATGCTCCTCTGCCAAGTCTCTTAGAAACAGGAAATCCAAGCCTTTAGAGGTGAATAAATCCCTCAGTATGAAGGACTTGTTTGCAATGGAGCGAGCATTGGGGCGCAGACTCACTGCTAGCAACAGTAGAGGCCCTAGCCAAGGGCGCAGGTCTGCGCCCAGCAGGACAGACACTGGAGGGGTGGCCCTGTCTGTAACATCAGTCTATTCAGGGTGTTGAGAGATGGACCTTTTATAGGCCTCCCCTATAATAGGTCCATCTCTCTTAAAAAGTCTGTCCCAGAACAGATTTAAATTTTCAATAAAACACACATTGTGAGCCCTTCAAGCGGACTAAAGCAAGTAATTGAGATTAAAAAGATTAAAAAGATGGGTTAAAATGCCATTTGGTCAACTCAGGCTGTTGAAGAACTGTCATTTGTTCCCACATAGGACTGTTTTAATAGAGGATGGGAGTAATGGCAATAAAACCTGGAACTCTTTTAAGAAGCAGAGGCACATAGTGTGTAACTGCATTAATGAAATGCACAGTCCTAGTTATGGAATCACTGACAATCAGGAGTTGAGGGGGAGAAAAGCGGATGCAGGCTGAGCTCTCTCAGGACAAAACAGAGCATGTTCAGGATCCATAGTGTGTGCCGCATTCATGACTGTGGATGGATGGATGTATCCAGGGACTGATAAAACAAGGGGGCGGCATCCTTTTTCTCTTCTGTCTCCAGATGGGTGAGACTTCTAGAGCTTCTCCAACCTCTTTCAGCAACCTGCAGCGGGACGAGGAGGAAGACTTGACCACTGCAGGGGTTGAATGCGCTGTTTTCCTGTGCTGGCTGGCAAAACTTCTGAGCAACATAAAGCGTTGGAGGGATGTCGCTCGGCCACTCAGAGGGTGCCACATCCAGGTCCAGTAAACGAGAGGCCAATGTAGCATCTAATGGGTGGGCCTGAGCCTGGTTTCTACAGCTCCAGATGAGGGTGTTATGTTACAGCCCCTAAGCAGCTCCTGCTGTGAACCACTTTGGACCAGGAAGGTGGTGTCCAGAGAATGGTCCTATGGGTGGGTAGGTAAGAACTGTTGCCTTGGGTCTGGATCCCACTCAGCAGCCAATGCTGATGGGGTGAGAGCACTCAGCTCAGCTTGACACCATCAAATCAGTGTCACACTCACCAGACAGACTCCTCCACAGTCACCGGGATCCCCACTTGGGTATTAAGCCTGATGCTGGCTCCAGCACCAGTCGATGGTGAGTTGCAGCAGAGGCAGAGATTGTGGCCTGCAAAAGCCTGAATATGGGACATATGCTTAGACTGGGTTAACACAACAGGTAAAAACTCAATCAGCTTTTCCTTTTCCCAGATTTTATTCTCCAGCTCGTGAATGTTGCCTTCCTAACGTTAAGCAGATTTCAGTTCTTAAACACAGCCATGTTGTTGATGAAATGTTTGTAAACAGGCGATGAAAGCAAACAAAAGAGCAGTTAGCAACCAGGCTGCACCACACACAATAATAGATTCTTAGGTTGAGTAACTTTAACCCAACTGCAGTAGCCAGTCTATTCAAAGTACATAGGCAGCAGAAATCAGAAGGAAAATCTTTCAGTTATCTTGGGTCAGAACCAGGACAGCTGTTTCCAGTCATTATGCTAAGCTAGGTTTGCTGGCTGCAGGTGGTTGCTTCATAATTAGTGTACAATCATTAGAGTGGTATTGGCCTTCTCAACTCAAGAAAGCAAATAAGCACATTTCAAAGAGTGTTGAACTTTACTCTTAAGAAAAAGAAGTGCACTATTTGGTGGTTCCAACACAAGCAAGCAGTTAAAGGTGCCGTAGAATACTTACTTTCAGGTTCATACTTATATTTAGGGTCTCTACTAGAAAATGTTCACATGCTTTAATGTTCAAAAAACACATTTCCCATACTGTACACTGCTTCAGCTCCTCTTTTTACCCTCTGTCTGAACACTCAGTTTTAGCTTCTGTCTCTTTAAGGCCCCCTCCCCGAAAACCCACTTGCTTCTGAAGGGTCAACTTCCCCGAGCACAGAAAAGGGCATGGCTTAGTGGCCCCACACTAGTGATGTGCAATACAGTTTTCCCTTCTACAGCACCTTTAAAACTAATTCTAGGAATTATATTCAAAGAATAATAAACCACCCCTTTAGGAAACTGAGCAGCTGAATTCAACATTCAGAGTAAAATTAAACATGCTAGGAATAAATATTTGTAAATATTATTTATATATTATTTACATTTAGGACACAACTGGTAATGCACAGATGATGTTAGAGATCAAATACACTAAAGCTGTTTAATCAAGATTAATAATTTTGATCCATCTCCATAGAGAGTGAAATGGAGGGACAGATAAGCTAAGTTTATTGAGAAACATGAGCAATTTCTGATTTTGCAGCTGGTTCATGGCTGCTTCCTCTTTCTCCAAATAATTTGTTCTCTTCCCTCCCATCAGAGCACAATGTGCAAACTGATTGGGAAGGTGAATCATTAGTCCCTTGAGATATTTAATGATCCTTCACCCATCACCGATAACACTAGTGTATAAAACAAAGAGGAGACAATCGAAGTTCAGGTATTACATTGTGGCTCCCCTTATTGTAAAAGTAGGGTATGCAGTCCTTATTTCAAACAGTCAACATACAAAAATAACACAAATCTCATTATTTAAATTAGCTGAGAGAAAAAGATGCAATAACAGTAGTTAAACTGGTCATAGCAACTGCTTTTATCAACATGATAAACTGATCCACTTCTGTCTCCTCTGATGTGCAGCCTCTCTCCATTGACAGGATAATTTAACATGTACTCATGCGTATGTACACGCACAAACACACATTTTTATTTACAGGAAAATGCAATATGAAACACGAAAGGTAAAGCTTGCTTTTCATCAGATGAATAAGTATCTCATCTCTATTGTCTCAACTATTTCACCATTCTCTTCTTTAAATGCATGAAAGTTGCTTTGCCTGGAAGGACAAAGGGGGTAACAGCACCTAAGGCCCCAGTTGTTCCTCCTGCAGACATACCACATGCACCACAAATTCGTAATTCAAGGTGGAGGGTACAAACACTGTAAAGTCACATGAAAAATGGTTGAGTTGAAATCAAGAAGGCAGTTTGAATGTTGAGTTTTATGCTAGGGAGTAGATGGTATTCATCGGAGAGTGGAGCTCCAGACTTCCACCAAAGTCCAAGTCCCTGATATCTCTCCTGGTTCCTGTGTACTGGCCAATGAACGAGCCGTCCTCGTTGAATGGTATCTCTCCTCCTTCACCATAGTCCACCAGACTATCATCACTGTCTGATCGTTTCATCATTGCCTCCATAGATGGCTGGCCTCTTTGAAGCCCTCTTTCCTCCTCTCTACAAAATAATCCAAAAAATAAAAACTTCATATTGGAGTCACATTATTTCAGCACTAGAAGACAGAAAGGATGGAAGATAAAACTCAACCTGATGTTTCAATACATTAAAAATGTACATGTACATACCGCCGGGGGTAAGGCAGAGTGGAGACACGTGCGATCCTAAAATATGAAGAGAGTTTGTGATAGAATAATAGTATAGATGATTTTATTTTAATGATCATCCACTCATAAAATTTTTACAACAGTTCCTGTATTCCATTTGCAAATACTATTTAGAGCTCCAAACTTCTATCACTTACATACTCTCTGAACAAATTAATACATAACAACTCAGTTTAAATGTCAATCGTGTCAATGTGTCAATATTTAGTCTTTTCATACCTTTCAAGAGACCTTGAGTGGTTCAGTGGGAAAAGAACAGGGTTGTTGTTTGGGGGAAATAAAGATTTAGATAGAAAAGGTAGAGTAAGTAAAAACGAAAAAAGAGTTATCATAAATAAGGTCATAAATACTGTAACCAGATTTGATTTGTATCTGTGCAGCATCATGCTAAAATTTTTATCAAAATTAAAGACACCTTGTAGAGATTAGGACCACTTGTATCGCTGTGGAGCAATGTTTTTATGAGCGGGTCACCATTTTGTTAGTATTGTGCACATGTGGACATGTGACATGATTCCTGCCTCCTGTTTTCTGATCTTCCACTGATTTATGGTTGGTGGCAGCAATTTGAAAAGACATATAGCAGTATGCCAGGAAAGGCAGTGAAGAAGACTGCCAGCCAACGATCATGAATCTAAACAATGCACAATTTAAAATATTATTATTATTATAATATCATCTTTTGCAAAATGTTTTAATGAAGGAAGGAAAGGCCTCAAGAATACACTCAATATGTTTTTTTTGATTAACACTGACTGTAAAATTAAGGTTTGTTTGTTTACAAGATAACTCCACAGGGCCGCTATATCATCAAACAAAAATTATAATGCACAGTTACAGAGCAAATGGATGTAAATACGCAGCTACTGTAGTTATAATTTTCAACAATGATAATGACAGTGTTATGGGAAACACAATGACCTACTCATTGCTGAGTATTATTACCACATAAAAACTACTAGTACGTGATGTAACACACATTGAAAACCTGAAATAGGATTTTGTAAACCAGTTTGGTAGATAAAACAGTAGAGGTTGATAACATGATAAGACAAGCTAAAATTAGAATTTTCTCTGGTGGTAGCAGTAAAATGTACAGTAGATGTGTTTTTCTTATTTGTTTATTTTCTACCAGCTGTCCACTGTAATTCTTACCGGTAGTCAAATGATCCCTCCTGATCTTTGTCATCCACCAGCTCCAGTGAAATGTCTTTTTTCTCCCGTACTGAAATTAAAACAAGCTACGCTGTTATAAGAGATACAATGAGGTGATTTTGGACATCATAGAAGATGAGGAATCACCACTGTACCTGGGTATTTCCCCCCTCGGCTCCTCTTGATGAAGCAGACTATAAGTAGGATGAGCACGATAAGAGCCACAGCACACATAATCCCAATAAACCAGCCCTGAGTGGAGATGTCCACTTGGTCCTGAGCATAAACTGAGACAAACACATTCAACATCCATTCAGCTCTTTAAAGTGTTTATTTGGTAGACCACCAACTGTGTTGATGCATGGAAAAAGTAGTAAATTACTTTCAGTGGTGTAGTGGGGTGACTCCTCCGTATGCCATTCCCCTATACCGATCCGAGTTAGTGCCGCCACGGAGAATCGGTATCGAGTGTAGCGGTCGTATCGCCTGACAGAGAAACTTGTTACATTTGGAAGGAACTCCTCAACTCGCACCTCCTCTCCCCTGGTGGCATTCACTGTGAAGAGAGTGGACATTTCAGTGCGCAAGTAGAGTACTCTTGGAGTACTCTTCGTGTTGGTAGAGTGCGCACAACTGAGCTATTAAGTACCATACCTTCTTGGAGTGTGACTGAACAAGTGATCATTACCCTCTCAAAAACATACTTCAGTGGTATTTTGGTCTTTGAGTGCATATTTAAGTGTGCTATTATGTGCTAAAGGGATGTGGGTCTAAGTGTCATCTAGAAACCTTTCCCAGCTTTAGAGGAAAAAAAACATTTCCTTTTCTGTTGTCAGCTTTGCAGTTTCTCCAAGGAGGACTGCAGAATGCTACATAATGCTTTGAAAGAGTAGTCTGGGAGGGCAGATGTATCTCCAATTGGGAGTGTTTCAGATGTTGGGTTGACATACCTGTCTGGTATTTGAGGGAATAGCCAGTAATGATCCCATTGGGTTCTGCTGGCAGGTCCCAGTCGACATAAATACTGTCCAGGTGTCGCTGTTGTATCCTAAAGGATGTGGGAGCAGATGGTACTGCAAACACAAAAACACAGCCCAGCCACTTTAAAGCACAAATAAAATATAAATAAACACAAATTTATGGTTTGCTTGTGCTTGGTATAGGACACCGGCGTTGTTGTGTTCCTTGGATGGTAAATTTGTGAATTTTCTTACCTCCTTCAGGTGTTGAGAAGTGTATATTATTACTGGGCGGTCCCTCATATCGATTGTTTGCCACCACTATATACATCTTGTAGTTGCTATAGGGGATGAGCCCAGTGAGGACCCCAGAGGGCTCTGGACCATTGTCTGTAAAAGCTTTAGACTTCATCGCTCTGTTGACCCTCAGCCACCTCAGCTGGCTGCTGTCCCTCCAGTAGTAGACCTGAGAGAAACAACACACCCAGCAGTTTGATTCTGCCGCAAGCATTGGGTGGTTATCTTTACTAACAGTTTTTTTTTTAAAGGTTGAATTCTTGCACACTGTCATGCACTGTTAGGTTCCAGGTATTAATACATGTATGTATATATAGTATTTTCCTACTGGTTGCATTATATTCAGTTGGCCAAATAACTGAGTGGATGAGAGTGTACATGTTATCATGTATGTGTATTGTTGTTGTCATTGTGCATTAAGCGGGTTGTCAAACATGGCCGTAAAAAGCTTGTCTCCTTGTCAAGTAACACTGTCAGCACTGAGTTTGTTATAGTTGCAATCAGGGTCTGAAGTTAGCACCTGTCTTGCTGGGATCCAGAAGACGTTTTTGTTGAGATATAGAATTTTGTGGGAATTAGAACTGACATAAGGACCTATTCATTAGTGGTTGAACTGTGGATTTTGTATTGAGCACTGACTGTATTATAGAGTACACTGTGGTGAACTTTGTGTTTCTTCTCGTCTGTAGGTACATGAAATACCTGGTTGTTAAGTAAGGTGGAGTGATTGTTATGTGCTGAAAGACACTGGTCATTTGTGCATGCAAACCCGCATGTAATATTTTTTTGTAAATATATTGAACATTGAATTACAATTTTTTTTTACTTTAAATGATACTTAAATGAGCTAAATGTTATTCCTTCATTTAGCGGATACATTTGAAAAGTGGCAGGAAAAAAAACACTTACATACTACAGTGGCAGGCAGTGAAAAAAGTTAATTTCAGACTTTCTATTTTTCGGGAAAGGACCATCAAATTTACACCACCTTTATACTAAAGCTACGGGCTGTAATGACCAGTCAAAGGGGGAGCCACATTTCAAACATCTGAGCCAATTATCTCATCATCATATATAAATTTTTCTTGCTGATTTAATAACTTATTTTGTATTAGCCATTTAGTCTTTAATCTAATGGGCCCATGATTTTGGTATTTGGGTTTTTTGACTGATATTTGATTGGGTTCTGGTTCTGTTTCACATTGTAAATTCGATGTTTGAACAAGCACTAATAAACAGTGATCACAGTGAGTGGGAATTCAACCTGTTCTTTCACATGATCACTTGTATGCTGATGCATCTGTCTACCAGGTGTGCATTAGATGACAGTTTAGTAACACTCTTATTTTATTGGTAATACAGTACAATTGTATTTGTCTGTTCTCTTCATCTCTGTCGACTAAATAATGGACCTGGATCTTAGTCCAACCTTTAACTTATTCACCACAAAGAAAGACACTTTCCAGACTATTATATTAACTGAAACTCTCTCTCTCTTGTCTAGCTCATTAAAGTCATTTGATTGTCAGTAACATCAGAGGACTCTCCCTATGAGGTAGAGTATGTCGTCAGTTTATATTATTGTCTATCAACATAAATGTAAGCTATACTCAAAGTCCAATATTGAATTCACCTTGTATTCTTTCAGTTCTCCCATAATAGAGTTGCGTGACACTGGGTCCCAGTGCACAGTCACTTCAGTGCTCTCAATGTTGGACACCCTCAGGTTCAGGGGTGCAGTCATGGGACCTGGGAAAAAACAGAGATTGTCTTTTTGTATCAGTGAACACACAGAGAGGTGATGAGAAGGTCAGCTTGACTGCAATAATAATTGGAGTAATAATAATAATAAGAGGTGTGTTCCCAACTCACTTAGTGTGACGTTGCAGCAACAGGGTGCCTACTTCAACACAAGTACAGCACAACAACACTGTATTCATAGCCTCTGGGTTAACTTGAAATCTTCTGTATTAAGTGTGTAATCCATTCTAATAAAACAGTCCATACATGCAATTTTCCCTTCACTACCCTTAGGCGAATATTAGGAGATGGGCTCATTTACATAAACATTTTTTTGGTGATAATTCTCCACCCGGGTGAAATTAAAGCACTGGAGATGAAGAGGCCACATCGAGGTTTTTCCCCTATTTGTTATTGATTTATGTATCATAATGCAGTGGATTAAGGTACTTACGGTCTTCCCCAGAGTAACCAATGACAACAGGAGACTCAGGACCCAGCCCAAAGTCGTTGACGGCCTGGACTTTGATCTCATAAGGAGTGAAGGTATCTGCATCGTAGATGTAGTATTTCAGCCATTTAGTGGTTGCATTCTTCCACTCCTCTCGGGAATCTCTCCTTCTCCACCAGACTAGATACTTCAGGTGGGGCCCGTTCCACTCTCTGTAGGTGAGAGGCTGAAAGCATAGTTTTTAGCGACCAGGATAGTTTAATTTCGGTGTGGTAGCGATTAAAATATGCAGCTGTCAAGATAAATATGAAAGTGTTACAATTTTTGATAGGTGCAATTCTATTACCTCCCAGCTGATCTCCATGTTATTCCTCCATGTACCCACACCCTTTAGATTCCTTGGGATGACATCTGGGGCTGTACAGGAAAACCAATGCAGTGTTAAGATCATTAGCTTGAAAGGAATAGTTCAACATTTCAGGAAATTTACTTAAAGGTTCAGTGTGTAAGTTTTAGTGGCATCTAGTGGTGAGGGCTGCGATTTGCAACCTGATTGCAACCAACTGCTCACTCACCGCTCACACCTCTTTTTCCAACCACGTAGAAGAAGCTATGGTGGCCATCTTTATACACCACCTTTATACATCACTGAAAACATTATGTATATTATATTGCATTTCTGTCAATAGATCCTCCTAAATACTACACACTGAACATTTAATTTCTTGCAAAGAGTTAGATAAAATGATTGATACCAATAATGTATGTCAGTTAAATATGAAGCTACAGCCAGGAGATGTTAGTATAGCTTAGCATAAAAACTAAAGACAGGCTAGTTGGTTCCCCCGCTTCCAGTCTTTATGCTAAGCTAAGCGTTTCATAGATGATACCTTCATATTTTGAGAACAAACATGAGTGTGGTGTCGATCTTCTCATCTAACGCTCAGCAGGAATATCAATTAGAGTGTTTCCCAAAATGTCCAACAGTTCCTTAAAAATGTGTTACACGTATGGCTGCTAGCTTACAATCTGTATTAGACGACAGGTATGTATTTTAGGAGCATAAAACCCACGTGCACCACTGCTCTGGAAGCGCATAGATGGACGACTAGGGCGACTCATTCCGATTTCATTGATAGCGATGACCCGGAACTCGTAGTAGGTGAAAGGTGTAAGATGTAGAATGACATTGTTGAGGTTCCCTGGGTACGTTGACAGGTTTCTCCACTTTCCAGGCAACCAGTCATCATCATCATACTGCACTAAGTACTCTGTAACAGACCAGTAAATGGAGAAATATACCCAAAAATGTCAACAAATTTACAAATATGTAAAACATGTTTTTATTTTTGTGAGTTTATTAAGTTGAATGCTTTTTACCTGTAATAGGGCTGTGGTTGCTGTCTCCAGGGACCCAACTGAGTCTTACACTACGTTCATATGGATCTGACAATTCCAAGTGAGTTGGAGGATCTGGCCGGTCTACACACAAAAAATCATGAACAACTGAAAAGCCTAACATGCCATATGGTTGATGAAATGTCATTTATTTTAAACATGTCATACCCATCACCATTAGTTGTGCTGAGGCAGACTTCTGGTCCAGTTCACTCTTGATGACACAGGTATAATTGCCCTCATCACCTCTGTTTACATTAGTGATGACCAGATTTGATTCATCTAGAGAGATTCTAAGGATTGCATACAAGTAAGTAAAACTTGTGAGATCTAGACGCTCATATGTTCACACAAAAACTTTAATTTAATTAAAAATAGTTGATATTTACTGTGTATATCTATAGAATTCATTCATAAAAAGATGTACCTCCAGCCAAGAGTGACCAGCGTTTTATCTTTCATCCAGTTGGTTGTAACGGGAGTAGTAACATCTGCTTTAACACCACACTCAAAGCGCACATCACTTCCACGGATGACTTTCATACTCTGTGGTCTGGTGACAATTAAAGTGGGCTCTGACAAGAAACAATGAAAAAACATTACAGATCACACAACCAGAAAGTGTTTGTGTAAAATTGTATGACGCTCACCTTTGACCTCTATTCGGACTTGACTCTCATCTCTTCCTGCGATGTTGCTGACTATACACAGGTAAGTTCCCTGGTCCTCTATCTGTATGCGTTTTATCTCAAGAGTCCCGTTACTGTGGGTCTTAAAACGATTCCCTTCAAGATTCCCCTGTCCATATTTAGACCTGTGTGAGCAGATCCATAAACATACATATGCACACACACTGTGAGCTGATGTCTGAACTCACTCTTTGCATTAAAATATCAAACAGCATGTTCTCACCATCGCAACTCAGGCACTGGAGAACCAAAAAAGCGGCAGTCTAAGAAGGTACGACTGCCCTCTGTCACCTTGATGAGTTCATTCCTGGGCCCAAGAATACGTGGCGTTGCATCTAGAGAAGCATTGATAATTAACAATTTTATATTATTATTTATATATTATATTTATATTCTTGGTGTACCCTCTCTAATCTGCATTGCCTCCTTTGTGCCTAGTATAGTTAATGATTTCTTAAAATTCACAAATGCCTCTCACTGACCTCAGTGATTTGCATGTATGTGATTATAAAAAGAGCAACTGCGATATCGGAGAAAAAGAAAGAGTTGCTCTTTACTCATAATATGTTTTACTATTATTACATTATTATATACTGAGGTTACTGCCCATTGAGAAGATGGTATATCTTCCTTGATGCATTTTTCCTTTGTATTATGTTATGTACTTTCTACACTTTGTTTGTTCCTTGAATCAGGCATTTACCTCTGGCTAAAAATGTGCAATTATCCAATCACTTCAACTTCAACTGGAAAAATGTTAAGCAAAATTTGTTGTATACAGGAAATTCATTTTAACACTTTTTAAAGGGTTCATTGTTTTCTATTAGTGACATACATGAACATGTTTCTGCATTTCTTGGTTTTGTATGTGCTCTTTACATTGATTTGAAGGTGATATACCTTTGTGCACAAAGGATTTAGCACACAGTTCCCATGAAGTAAATAAGCTGAGTTTTAGAAAGTTGAAATTCATAATAAATAATACCTTGAGTTGTTTGTTTTCAAGTATTCATGAATATTTAACGTTATAGGAAATAAAGCATGGATTATCTGCTTTATGTATTTGATTACATAGCATTTGATGTTTAACAGTATTGGTTTTTAAACATTTTTAGGTAAACACCACTTTCTATATCTTGTTATATTGTATATACATGTGTTTTTTGTTATTAAATGCATATAAAGGACAGAGTAATTTTTATGATAATGGTGAGCATGGGAAACACCTTTTACAGATGCCATGACACTGAAAATGTATTTGAGTGTTGTACTTCAACAATGTTTAAAATATACCTCACTGTTTTTTTTTGGTGATCTTTTGGCAAACCATTCAAAATCACGTCACAACTCATGGCTGGGTTATGACAGTGAAAAACAATGTTTTACGCTGTATATGTCATTGATGGAAGAGTGGTAACTTACGTAGCACGATGACAAAAGCATTGGCCAATAAGTAACCATATTGATTGGAAGCATTGCACTGGTAGACGGCATTGTTTTCAGCAGTCACACTGCGTAAAGTCAGCGTGTCTCCTGACACCTGTCTGTTAGGCTGTGATGTAGCAGCTGAGGGAAAAAAATAGACAAAAGGAAAAATACAGCAGAGGTTGATACTATCTAGATATACTTTTACAGCTAGTAGGCATGATCTCAAAAACGTACTGTCAATTGGCTCCCCGTTGATGAACCAGCTGATTGTGGGACGAGGAACCCCGTCAGAACGACATACCAAGCGTCCATTTTCCTCAGGGGCCAAAACCAAATCAGCTGGCTTCTCCAACCAGAATGGAGCCGCTGTCAAATACAAGTATGTTATTTGTTTCAATATTATTGTGCAGTAAGAAAAGATATGTTTCTGAAAGTGTCTCTCACCTTTAACCCGGACAGTTATTGTATGCTCAATGTATCTGATTTTATTGGTGGCAGTGCAGACGTATTCGCCTGCATCATCAAAAGAGGCCTTTGGGATTTGAATCATCTTGTTGAAGTTCTTTATTTTCATGCGTGAAGTCACCACCAGGTTCTCACCATCCTTGGTCCACGTAATATGAGGAGTTGGCCTTGATGATGATAAACAAGGCTTTACACAGGACGACTTTCATGAAATCAAAGTCAAAAAATATACTGAATAGAAAATATATGCACATAAACTGTTGCTTTTTGTGGCTTTTTGTATTATTAACATTAGCTTTAAATATACTATAAAAACAGTTATATTAAATCTCCCGATCTTGAGGTCACACTCACACTCCTGCAGCTACACACTCCAAGAGCAGTTCTTCCCCTTGAAGGACCAGTATGGAGCTGGACGAGCCTGTGGGAGACAGCCAGGTGGGGGCAGCCTCGGCCACTGTACGAGCTGCAGAGCCACAGCATAAACAAAACATACATAGAGTTATACAAAATACAGGATTGACATGGACACTTAATTATAATTAATTATGCATTAATATAAAAATTACTTAAAGCTGCAGCTGATAAATGTTGGGTTTACGTTTTACGACATATTTTTTTGCAACATATACTGCTACTTAGCCTGTGAAGGGATCTTTTGAGAAGTTTTATCTTTATCTATGAAACATAATAATGTATTTGTTGATTATATTTTACATGAATAATTTGAATCTACAAAGTAACAAGTAACTGAAGGTATTGAATTGCAATGGAGTAAAAGCATAAAGTTCCTCAAAATTGTACTTGAGGAAATGTATTTAGTTACATTTCACCACTGCAGGTTACAAGTGAGCAGAAAGATAGAGATTTGGGCTAAAACCTTCAGGAACTGTGAACACACAATCATACTCACTTGTAAGCACTTTAACAACCACGGGCATCTTCTGCTGAATGACATTCTTGTAGGGGAAGCGGGCATTACAGCAGTAATCAGTAGCAGAGTCATTCAACAGGACATTAGAGAAGTACAGATCTCCGTTTACTCCCATGGATACCCTGCGGTCCTGCCGCACAGGCTGCATGGTGGGGAAAGCTGTCTGAATGGGCCAGTTGAAAGGTCTTGCATATGAGCCTGACATGAAACATGGTGTTAAAATGTCAGTTCACAGGAGAAATTGTATATTTAAACAGCTAAATTTATTGAACACTTGTTCAGTTAGCAGATCATTAAAATGCTTCTTGATCCAAACTTTTATGTAACTGAGATGTAACCCTAGAGAGAGACGCTTACAGCTGGACATCCAGAAGGTTTCAGGTTTAGGTGGGCCAGGTGGAGGGTCACAGGAGAGGACTAGAGGCAAGCCAGCGCTGATCACCACAGGCTCCAGAATCTCTCTTGGCCACACAGGAGCTCCTACACAAACAGAGGTTTGCAAGGTTCCACTGAGAAGCAAAGTCAGGTTTTGTTGTTTGATATTAGTAACTGGTTACCCCTGATTTGGTTTGCAAAAAACGAGTCAACTCCTAGAAATACATTATCTTGTGTGTAGGTTTTAGTGGCATCTAGTGGTAAGTGTTGCAAATTGCAACCAACATGTTGCTGTTTGCAGCACTAAGTCTACATGATGCATGCTGGACTTGACATAAGGCATGCTGGTTAGGAAGTGTGGTTTATGAACCACACTTCCTAACCAACGACTTTCGCCGGTGCTGTAAAACTTCACCGTCACATGACATTAAAACCTCGCAGAGAGCAAGACAGCTGCAGTCGCTGAGTCAGGCAACCGCAGTTGCTTTTCTCTGGCTGCACAAAGTTGGAACCACCTTTTGACTGATCTCGCAAGTCATTGTTCTAAGCTCACAGTAACCTTGTGCAGGTAGAATGACCAACTTGACACGGCGGTCCAGCATGGCAACCTGCGTATAATGGGACCTGCGGTGTATGTAGATAGACACGGCTCATTCTGAGGTAATAAAAACATAATGATTCTTATGTAGGGTTCTCTATACAACTCTGAAAACATAGTTATGTATATTAAATTGCATTTCTTTCAATAGACCTTTTTAAATTTTACACACTGGACCTTTAAAGGACAAGTCAGGTGATATACCATATTTTTCTTATTCTAAGCAAATCTCCAAAGACCCAGAGGAAGAATTAATTGATCCTACTAACATATACTGCCTGTGTAGCTAAGGCTCGATAGAGCTCCAAACTATTAAATATGTCAGTGGGCCACACTGTTGCACTGATTATGATGAATATTAGTTCATAAATACAATTTATTTTGAGTCCCTCCTACTGCTGTATTGCCATCACTAGAATCAAATCCTTGGTGAAAATAATGCCCAAAAAATGCAATATTTACTCCTGTTTGAGTTACATTGGCTAAAAACTACACTACAGAGCTGTTTTGGGAAATATTTTAGCCTAGTATATATATATATATATATATATATATATACTGTATGTGACCCATCTTTAAGGAGTTGCGTCTTTGGTAGGAACAAATGAGTGCCATAGATAGTGCAGGGAAGACGGAAAGTTTGTAGCCTTTGGAATTTTCACAATACCAAAAATACAAAATATATTTTAGAATGCTTCTTGTATTTGTTAATATTCACCATATTGTAAAGAGTAACACAGCTGAATTCTCTTTGAAAGTCAAATGAAAGCTCTGTAGGTAGGAAGCAAAAACATTCACCATCACACATCACATAAGTTGACATTTATGCACTGTAGAACTTATCCTCTTTTCATCTCTGTGATTTCAAATTACTACAAAACATATAGTATAGAAAACCTGATACTAATGTTGGAATACTGATTGAAAAACTGTGTTAGTGGCATTTCATTCCAAAGTAATGTCCATTTGCAGTGTGTCACGTATGTCTCCTGTCAGTGGTACATCAGTGGTGGATGCAAACAAAATTGATTCTCTAATTTAGTCTTTAGTAATCTAAGGTCCAATACTGATCTTACTGTATAGTCGGAGTCTGATTTTGTTGGAGTATGCAGATCCATACTCATTGGAGGCAATGCACTGATATTCTGCCTCATACTGTTCTGGATTGTTCCAGGCATAGATGTCCAGCGTCCCTGAGCGCCTGCGCATTGATGCTTGAGGGTCACGTGCCACGTTGTAATACTTCCCATTACGCCTCCATGAGAAACTTGAGCAAAAAGTGTAAAGGAAGACAGAAAAAACAGTGAGGTTGTATTTGCAGATAATAATGTCAGTTTTATCAAAACTGTTCCCTGGGCTGAATCGGCTCTTACATGGGATGAGGGTTTCCTTTGGCTTCACATTCTATGATCATGGTGTCTTTGGGGTCAACAATATGCTCCTTCATTGACTGCTTTATGATGGTTGGGGGCTGCCTGACTGCAGGCAGAGAAAAAATAGTTTTGTATATTATAAATGTATGTGATAAGACAATATACATCTCAAATTACAATATTCAAGTTCAGTTACTAACTCACTTTCCAAAGGGATGTCCAAAGCCCAAACACTCTGCCATAAAAGTAGCAGCAGCGCTGGTTCGACCAGAGTCCCCATTTTTGCAGTGCATGGAATCCAGCAACACTTTTCTTCACCAATTCTCCTGTTCTCAAATTGAAGAACATAACTGAATAGAATAGCAGACATCTACTGTACCATACATCCATGTCATTCAGTTAAAATCCAGACCAAATTTTGTATATGAAACTTCTTACTGACTAGTTATTGAAAAGGAAGGTAAAAAGTACTTAAAAGAAGTTTACCACAGTGTAAAAAATGTGACCTTCATTCAAAATCCTACTAAAATAAAAGTACACAAGTATTATAAGCAGAATGTACTTTAACTATCAAAAGTAAAAGTTATCTGCAGGAAAAACGATGTTTTATTTTAGATTATTATTACTGATGCACACAGCAACTTCATACTGTTGTAGCTGGTCGAGGTGGACCTGGTTTTAACTACTTTATATACAGTTAGGTAGCTTAATCCAGTGGTTCCCAACCTAGGGGTTGGACCCCTTCATAGGGACACAAAGTAAATATGAGGGATGATTAATGGGAGAGGAAATAAGAAGTTATTCAACATACATTTACATACATACATATATATAATCTTTTTGTACTTCTCTAATCTTTATGTCTCTAATCTTAATGTCATAAAAAGTACAAAGAAATACTTGAATAAATGTAGTTATTACTACCACATCCACTACTTAGATCACACTGCTGTATCAGATTCTCTGACAAATTAGTTTATCATCATTAAACTGTCTGAAGCTGCTATGAAAACCCCCTGAATGTCTGTAAAAGTATGTACAGAAAAACTCAAAGTGTTTCATTAGATGCTTCTATTCATCAGATTATTGCTCTAAATATTTAATGAGTCATGTTAGTATGATCAGCACAACAAGTTGTCAGTACCTACCTCTCTCATGTAAGGTCAAATCAGGGATTTCTCCACCCCATCTTTGTGGCTTCCGCAATGCATTGAGAATTCCAGTGACTTTACAAAATTATTCCTGTTTGTGCAGTATACCTATTAATGTCCGAGTCCTTCAAATATCAGGTCAAGAACCCTAGAGGAGTTGATACACTTTAGTAATAGAGTTTCTGTCTGTCACTGCCACTTACACTCTGCCCACCCATCTCATGAATAATGAATGAACGCTATACACCACCTCCTCATTGCCCACTTCACTTCACTGTTCTTACCAGGCTCTCATAATTCTGAATAATCCATCTCCATCAAACACAGTCACAATGTTTCTCTGCACAATAAACAAAGTGAAGTTCCAAGAAAGAAAGAAATGTTTGGATTCAATTGTGGACATAATTGCATTTTGTTTCCGAGCCTGATTTTTCTGTCCCATAGCTGAGTAATGTTCACTTTGACCTGGTCCAGTGTGAGATAAATCAGATTGAGCCAAGTGAAAGCACAAAACAACCCATATTCTGTACAGTTTGCATTGTTACTGGCTTTGATGACATCAAAATGTGGGCTTTATTGTTGACTGGAGAGAACTGGGGAACAGAGAATGAAAGCAATGTTTGTTTCTCTCATATGAATTTTGTATGTGGCAAATCTCGAGTCACATGAGTCCAGGGCAATAGCCCTGACAATAACAATTTGACTATTACTTTTCATTGTGATGTGAAAAAATACACCTCAAACTCCCTCCGCACACCTCCCGTATTTTCGATTTTCCAAAGTGCCAACTTATCCTCTTTTTCAAGAAACAGATTTTTCTGCACTAAACCATTCACATGCATATCCTCAAAGGAGGAAAAGGTCATTACCATTCAGCTGGAAAAATCCTACGGGGGGGAAGGATCAGATTTCTTTTCTAGAAACAGTGCCAACAACGCAGGAGAAGCTGTATTTGTGTTAAACAAAAGCTATCTCTTGGCTGTCGACAGAGTCCTGACCTGTGTAGGCTTTCAGGCATCCACACAGGGCTGCATATACAAACCAGCACTGACTGGGCTAAACAATAGTTTGGTAGTGGTGCTGGTGGTGGGGCGTGGGGGAAAGGTAAAATGAGGTGAATGAAGTTAATCTTGTAATTAAGATTTGTATTTACAAGTGAAATTATAAAGCTGATTTAAAAGTGGAGAGTTTGTATAAAGATATTACTTATCATTAGGGACATCCTCTCAAAACAAAAGCAGAAGGGGTATGTTGAGCTTCTTGGCTTCTTCAGAACAGGCGTTTTCCCCCATACATTGGACTGAAACAGGCCTGGTAGTGAGTAGTTATCAGTGCCATGCACCAGATTGCACAGTGAAGAGGCAGAGAGGCAGACAGAGCCAGCTCAGTGACGACAAGAAGGTCTCTATGCTCTCGGGTCTCCTTTGGCACGTGTGCCCAGGGCTCGGGTAAGAGCAGCTGGCATGAGGGAAGGTTAATTCAACTGCACAAGCTGCCTGTTCATCTCAGAGCACTTATCATCTGCACTTTGACGTCATTGCATCAGGGTGAGCATATCCGAGACCGGAGAGAAACTCCTGTTGAGCAGAACGCTGCTACATTAAGTCATCGCCACTATGCTATAAAAACAATAATGTCTCACTAAACTGTGATTCGGACTTTATGGTGAGGTAACGGTAAACTACAGCAACATAACATTTCATCAAAAGCATCCTGTAACAAAAATAAGAGTCTATAGCCATGCTAGCCATTGTGAGGGCCGCATTACGCACAGCGGTGCTTTGAGCTATATGCTTATGTCACAATATGTCTAACATGCCCCCAATAACAATGATATCATGCAGATTTTTAGCAGGTATAATATGTACCATGTTCACCATTTTAGTTTTGTGTGTTAGCATGTTAACGTTTGCCAGTTAGCGCGGAACACAAAATACATCTGAGGCTGATGGGAATGCCACTTGCAGGTATTTGTTCATAAACCAAAGTACTAAACAAATTAAGATTTTGATGTGATGGTGACACAAAAGGAAAAGTTAAGGGATCACCGAAAAAACATATACACAAAATATTACAATTGATCACTTAGGTCAATTCGTGGAAATTCAACCTACAGTTGAAATTTCACTCAAAACCACAGATGTCAACCTCATGGTGGTGCTAGAGGAAAAGTCAGGGGATCAGCAAAATCAGTAGGATTCATCATCTTGGGACTATGAAAGTCTTTACAAAATGCCATGTCAATTCATTAAATAGTTGTCAAGATATTTCAGTCTGGTCCACCAGAAGCAGTGGACCATCATTGCTATCCACAGAGCCACGCTGCTAGCATGGCTAAAATATAAAGACAGATGGATATTTAGAGCCATTAGTTCCCTAACATTATATAGTAAAATAAGATGTTCATACGTTCAAATGCACATCACATTGGTCAATGAAACATTGACACAAAAAGTGATTCAAATTTATGTCAGTCATATCAATAGGTGGTGTGAGAGCAGAACAATATTGTGATCACTCTCCTACAAATCTGCTGATGCAGTTGTAGACCCATCCCACTCCTCAACTCTCTCAAGACTGTGACATCATTAAAACCTTGACTTCCACTGATAGCCGCCTTGAACAACAGCTACAAGTACTAAAGCACTCCTTCACATGGTGATACACTCTATGCTACTCTAAAGTGTCTTAATAATGTGGTCTAATTCAGTTTACTTTTTTTTTTACAAAAACCAATGATCAGAATTAGCTAAACATAGTATAACTGGTGAATGTTAGGGGTCCTACCTTTGAGTGTTGTTTAAATGTTTTTTCTCTGCTTCTTTGTCCCTTTCCCCCCCTTGTTGCAGTGAAAGCTGATTCCTACTTCCTTCTCATCTTCTGTCACAGCAGATTCACATCATCTTCACAATGAGCTTCACCTTTCCAGCAGCGGTTTCTGGTTATTGTCACTCCATCATCTTAAAGCAAGCGACAGGCAAAATAACAGAGGCTCATGTGGTCCATCAGGATGGCTGTCCCGAGCCTGGGTCACACACCAGGCAAACAAGGCCTAAAAGCCTATTATAATAAATCCATTGTGAAATCCACACAAAACTATAACGTCATCTCCACTGTGATGGGAGAATAAAACAGAACTGTCATGTCACGCACTAGTTGGTGGATTAGGTTTAGGTGTCTAGATCCTATCTAGCATTAATCAATTACAGCTTACTTAAGAAATCAAATTTGTTTTGTATTTTTTTTATGTGTGCTGTTGATTTTCAGTGTATTAGATGGGGGTGGGTTACTGACCTTGTATCTTCACTGTGGCTGGCACGAACACACACTCTCACACACAAAGCGTTTCTGTCTGAAACAAAGTCAGTCTATTGTGGACAGGGAGGGTACAGCTTCCAGACACATGGGGGGGATTTAACCCATCACATTCAAGTGATTGGATGGCTTCTCATCATCATTTGCCAAGACCAGGGTGATTTATTTATTGGTTAGAGGAAAAGCGCTGGTCGTGTTCAGTAATGGATAAACATTTGCCTGACAAGGAATAGTGACAAGGAATAGTATTCTTAAATATTAATTTATTCAAAACAAATACTCAAATGCCCATAGCACAATAATATACTACATCAGCTGTAATGTCACACGAAAGTAGGATTTATAGCTTATATATCCAGTTAACAACACTGAGGAGTGCAACAGATAATGAATTATGTCACAAGCACATTACACCAATCTTTTTTTAATAAAGTGCATAAAAGTGCTTTTCTCACGATTATCAAACAAAATGCTATATGTAAGGCATGTTGACATCATCTAACATACAGTACATGTATAACAGGAAGTGGACAAAACGGCAGAAACACTTTGTGATACAAACGCCTAGACAAATTTGATGAAGCTTAGCAGCAACTATTTGCCTTCTTTGTTCCTCTAGAAGTTGTCGTATATTGATTTGAAAAATCTTTTTTATAATGGTGGTTGTTCAGTCTCCTCTAAATCTGATGCATTCTGCTGATAAGTACAAAACTTAATACAACTCACCTACGTAGCTGGCTTGGTAACTGTTACGTTCAGAAAAAAAGAGAATATCCAGTGAGCGGCAGAGGAGAATGGGCAGACTGGTTCGTGGTTTTAAAACTTTGATCTGTTCATTCCGTGGGATACCTTGAATCTATGTATAGACATACCTCATATTGTACCTACTCACACCCATCTCTGCTTCATCTCCCAGGCTCTCTCACTCATCCAGTCCTTAGTTCTGCTTACAGCTGAGCGCTCTGCCCTGAGCACCAAACAGAGCCTGGCTAGTTTGGGTTGGTTTCTCTCCAAGTAGTTGTTGGTGTCTCTCTGCAGCTGATCCAAGGCCGAAGGCCGACTCTCGTCAAGGGACACCACAGCACTCAACATGGGGTTAAAACGGAAGTACACGTCTGGAGCCAGCAGGTCGTCCAAAAGGGTGTGGACCCCTTCAGTGTCAGTTGCACTGCTGATCAGGTTGCTGATTTTGGCCCTCAGGCTGGTTGAGGTGGCAGGTCCCCTCTTAGCGTTGTCATAACGACCAGTGCCAAGGGACAGCACACACTGGAAGGACTGGTTGGGCCATAATAGATGGCTCTCATGGACAGCCAAGGCACAGGGATTGTTCAAGATAATTCCTCCATCCTACAAAAACACAGAAATCATCTGAAAGTGTACAGGACAAGTATTTTGTTAAATTCTAACCCACTCTAAGCCCTTTCTAAACACAGAGCCATATTCTGATTTTTGTATTGCAGTTAACTTAAAATGGCAAATGTGTAGTTTTTTCAATGAAATTAATCAATTTTCTATTGCCTATTTGTGAAAGGGCTGTAACCTCACATAAAAATTAACCGTTGCCGGCTTTCTCGGTTACCTCTGACAATGTGTATGCTGCTTCCTATATGAAGAAATCGGGTCAGACTTTCTATGAAATCCATTGGCTTGTGTAGGCTGTGACGTTCATGTGCACTCCCGAGCCCCTTGCCTACTGATCTACATACAGCAACAACACTGCAGCTAACAAAATGGAGGCCGCTAACACCAAAAAACAACCAGCTACAGACTCCAACACAACCTCCACGTAAGGATAAAAAACAACAAACGTCGGGCCAAGTTGGGAATCAGATCGACATCTGGTGAAAACGTGTCAACATCAGAAACGCATTTGAGTCATGGAGAGACCTCTGCTATGTTTTGGATATAAAATCCGACCCAGATTTGGCTTTCATCCTATTTGACGGGTAAATTAACATTACTGCAAAGCATGTGAAATATATTGCGATTTTGTGTTTTAGTTGGCTTGTTAGATAATGTTAGCTTGCCTGCTAACGCCGACCAATTGTTAATGTTATCCATTGCAAAATGCTCACCAGCTAACTTGATCCATATTGTTGTCCTGTCTGTGTACCACTGGTATTAAGTACAAAACAAATGTGGAGCAATTTGTTTATATTGTGTTAAGGTGATGCAGACAGGGGCAGCCAGCTTCATTAGCATGGATCTGGTGTGTTTTACTTCTTAACGTTTAATGTGGATTTATTGTCATTTTACCGATACTCAGGTACATAGCTTCTTCGCCGGTCTCAGTCGCAGTAACTTTCGTGACCCACATAATATACAATACTCAAAATAGTTAAGGGAACACTTTAATCACACATCATATCTCAATGAACATAAAAGTTAAAAGTTCCAAATCTTTACTGAACACTGTATAATTCGTTGAGAACAAAATGACGTAACAACGGTCAATAGAAACCAAAATCACCAACCGTTTGAGGTCTGCATTCAAAATCACACCAAAAATTAAAGTAAAAAACTCAAATCACAGGCTGATCCAACCTGTCTGACTTTGATCAAGGCAACTCATAATGTGACTCAGTAGTGTGTATGGCCCCCATGTGTCTGTATGCACTCCTGACAACTTCTGGGCATGTTCCTGATGAGACAGCAGATGGTGTCCTGGGGGATCTCCTCCCAGATCTGGTGGCCGGGCATTGTCCTGCACCAGGAGGAACCCACTGCCCACTGCACCAGCGTAAGGTCTGACCATGGTTCTGAGGATTTCATTCCGGTATCTAACAGCAGTCAGTATACCATTGCTTAGCATGTGGAGGTCTGAATGACCCTCCGACGATACGCCTATCCAGACCATCACTGAACCACTGCCAAATCAGTCATTTTGGATGATGTCGCAGGCAGCATAACATTCATCACAGCATCTCCAGACACCTTTCATGTCTGTCACATGTGCTCAGTGTGAAACTGCTCTCATCTATGAAGAGAACGGGGCAACAATAGCAAACCTGCCCATTGTGGTGTTCTCTGGCAAATGCCAATCAAGCTGCATGGTGCTGGGATATGAGCACAGATCCCACTAGAAGACTTCTGGCCCTCATGTCACCCTCATGGAGTTGTTTTGTCAGGCTCTTCCAGTACTCCTCCTGTTCCTCCTTGCACAAAGGAGCAGATACCAGTCCTGCTGCAGGGATGATGCCCTTCTATGGCCCTGTCCAGCTCTCGTCGTGTAACAGCCCGTCTCCGGTTATCTCCCCCATGCTCTTGAGACTGTGCTGGGAGACACAGCAAACCTACTTGCAACGGCACATATGGATATAGGTGCCATCCTGGAGAAGCTGGACTACCTGTGCAACCTGAATGGGCTGCAGGTACTGCCGCATGCTATCAGTAGTGACAAGGACACTAACAAAAGCAAAACTATAGAAACATCAGTCAGGAAGGGAGAGTTGTCTAAATCTTTTTTGGGGAGAGCAGGTGAGGTCTTACATCAAAGTCATCATCTTTATGCACTTAATAGCAAACTATTTTATACTAATTGTCTACAGTTATATAATTCTGAGTGACTGGGAGAGAGGATTTTGCATTTTTTCTCTTCGTCAATGGGAAGATCCAAATAGAAATCTATTAATGCTGGGGAGGGCCTTGCTGTTCTATTTCATTGCCTTTTCCCAGCACTACATCATTTTGATTCTATTGAAAACCTTAAATGCAGAAACGACAGCAGTTTCCAACCTGGTGGACGTCACTTTGTAAGGGGAACTCCTGAAAGTATCCTGGGGCAGCTGATGATGCTCGCACTGCCTGCCACATCTGACAGCCTGAGCTACCTGCGTAGCGGCTGAGAGAGCCTGGTTTATGGTTGTAGTTGCGGAAGACAAAGGCCTTTGGACTGGTACCCCAGTTTACCACTGCGCTGACTGCTGAAACCTGAGCAGATACCAACAATACCATTTGTGAAAATTGTACAAAACCAGTGAAAACTGCAATTTTAATGCTTGAAACAAAACAATTGGTTCTAATTGTATTCTGACCAAGATAGGGGGCTGTACTTTAGCAGCCGTAACCTCATCATTTCAACAGTATTTTATCAGTGCTGTGAGCCTGATGGTAATTTTGTAAAATTTCATAAAATCAATAACCGTGGTGGTATTCTTACCTTGGGACTTGACTCATCTCTGGCCGTTTTAACAAGTACTCTTTTTCCCAGCTTTTCTCTAAATGTGATTAAAAAAAGAAAATTCAGTCAGATCAAATTGCATTTCTGTCTTATTATTAACATGCTGAGAATTCACTACCTTCACTGAAGCACTTGTATAGTTTTGTTAGAATCTATTCTGTGCATACCGTAGTATTGTCTCCCAGGTCTCAGTGTTATAGTAAGAGTGACTCCAGCCCATCTTCACTGTGCCAACCAGTGGGTTCTGGCGAAACACTTCAGAGCCAAAACGACGATACATGTCAGCACACTCCTCTAAAGAAAAATGGGCCAGACCCAGCATGAAGGCTAGAACAGCACCTTAAATAAAAACATGCAGAGACACACAAGTGAGACACGAAATTATAGATTCAGACGGAGAAGCATCCAGATGTTATTGAGAATACATTATGTCTCTGTACTTTGTTGTTTGTCACCTGTGCTCACTCCGCAGATGTAGTCAAACAACTGGTGGATCTTCTTGCCTGTCTCAGCTTCCAGTAGCTTTAACACCTGCAAAGGCACAACACCTCTGGAAAAGGCAAAGACAGTATACTTACATATTATACAGAACACAGGACAGAGACCATCTTAAACCGGGTTCTGGGTTAAGCTGAAACAATTAGTTAAGTTAAAACTGATAAGTCGATCACAAAATTAACCAGCAACTGTTTCAAGCAAAAATTCTTTGCAGCTTTTCAAATGAGAGAGCTGTCAACCTCTCTATAGTCTTTTGACTATATAGCAAACTATTTATATTTGGATTTTGCAATGCTGGTCAGATGTAACAAGAACTATTTTCAGATTTTTAATGGGCAAAACAGCTAATCGATTAACCCAGAAAAAAGTTGAGAATAATTGATAATGAAAATAATCCTAAATTGCAGCTCTTGTTCTGTGTATAGCATGCAGATTGTTGAAGGGCAGTAATTCATTAATAATCTATTTTCTTACAGTTACCTTGTGCCACCACCATCAATTGAGAGCACTCTGATGCCACGACCTTTGACTTGATCCACATAGCCGATTAGAGCCAAGGTTTCTCTTAAGGTGCTCTGAAGCATCCGACTGTCTCTGTAGGTTCGTCGCTTTCTCAACAATTTGACTGCAGTTTTCTCCTGTAAACAAAAACATCTTTAAGAATTCACTGAGGTCAAATAAGTTCGTTGAATTTGTGCAAATGTCATGTCGTTTCTTTCACTTCCAACAGACCTGCCACATTAAAGCCTTGCATGAGGGGTAGCGGATAAGGTGTTCATTGAGTGCCTCCAAGCAGGCAGTTAGAGCGTCAGGAGATGAAGCCTGTGCCAGGCATGTGATCAACCCTCGTGTCACTTCCTCTGCCTGTCTCTGACTCAGGACAAGCTGAGATAACATTGCCAGAAATTACTTACAAACATTTGGATAACAGTTTGATTTAATTTTATGTGTTTTAGCTTCTGTAGAATCTGTGGGTGACCTTGGCAATAGCTAATATTTATATCAAATAAAATGAACTGCAATGCTGTACCAGCTTGGAGAATGAGATTAAGCGATGATGAGATGAGACAAGTCAGTTCATGCTATAAAAAGGGTCATTGTAGATTCGAAGACCAATTTCGGTATATTTTCATTTTCTCATAATCTTGGTCAACTTGGCATTACTGAACTTAAACCTCAACTTACCTTTTTAAACAATTTTGTCTCTGGTGAAGTCATGGCAGGTTTGGCCTTACCAGCCAGGGACAAGGGGCCCAGCTTTAGATAAGCACCCATCAAATCAGGAATGGCACTTGTGGGGTGGCGAAGGCAGTCCATAAGGGATACAGTCCCCAGTCTCTTATAGGTAGCAGATCCAGGGTCCATCTGTATTTGGGTATTACCATCAATGTCTTCATCCAATCCACTTTGTCCCTTGAAATACTGATTGATGTAAGCAGACATTTGGAAATAGTTCTCCCCAAAGTTAGTCGTATTATGGCTGCTGTGGAAAGGGCCTCCAGTTTGAGGGATTATAGGTTCTTGTTGCTTTAGTTGTGACTTGGCACCTTGAGTTTGTGAAGTAGATTGTGTTGAAAAGTCTTTCTTGAAAGTGGTATTCTTTTCCACAGGAAGTTGTCCTCTCTTATTCTGATCTTGGTCAACTTCATTGGTAACCTTGGCACCAAAGTATTTATTGATGTGTCTTGCAAAGTGAAGGTAGCCCTCCTCCCAGCTGCTGGAAACATTGTTAGGTTCCACTGTTGCCTGACCAGCACACAAATTTACTTGAGACATTTCAGCTTCTGGAGAGTTTATAATGCAAGTGTTTTGCATTTTTCTCCTCTTCTGCCGCCCATTTGTCCCTTTGGTAGAAGACATGGTTTCCAAATTCTCCTGCATTTGAACTTTTGTGGAACCGCTAGAGAAGACTGAGTTTATGTGATTGGCAACATAATTGTAACTCTCACCAAATGTTGTTGCCAAAGAGCTGATGTGAAATAGTTGCATTCCAGAATTTCCCTGTGTTGAAGGCCTTGTTCCCAAGCTCGCTTGTTTGTCTTTGCATTTCAAGGTCTGCTTTGTGTCTTTGGCCTTAGACATATTTCGTTCTCTGGCTTCCCGTTGACTTTGACTACGTCTCTGTGACCTGCTAAAATATTCTGGAGTTGTGACAACTAGATTAGCATTTTCTGATAAAGGTTTCCTGAAATAAATGTTAATGTGTCTGGACAATTGATTAAAAGACTGACCTAGACATCCTCCTGTTGAACTGTCCTGAGCCACGTCAAAGATCCCAATTGGAGCTTCAGCTTTGCATGTATTCCTATTGGAGGATGAGTAAAAACGCACAACCTGGAGATGTTTCACTTCTTTGGTAAAATTTCTGAGGAAGTGGTAAGAGTCATAGCTTGTATGACTGTGGCCTAAATTTTTAAGAGTAGCTTTTCTTGTACATCTGGTAAGATGAAGAGGTGGCAGCAGTGAATATCTGTAGAGGTCCAGGCAGTGTGGTGCTTGAGCCAGATAAATAGACTTTCTGAGAAGGCTCATTAGGTACCTAATTTTGCAGTATGACCTCAAAGTGTTGTTTACTGAACTTGAACACAAGTTGGTGCCAAAGTAGCAAACCATGTTTCACCTAATGTTGTGAGCAGCAATCAATCAAAGTCCATAAGTCACTCTTGTGCTTGTATAGATTTAAGTCAGAGCAGCATTTTCAACAGGAATCTATGAAAATGCACAAAACAAACACATTAGAACAAGACTAAGACAGCAATGCTAGAAGCTCTCTGAGGCTGTATTTTGGCACAGTGGTGGCTTTGAGCTTAATTCTAATGAATTTATGTTGACAGTGACACTAAAAAAAATAAAATTTACTTAAAAATGTAAGTTTAACAAAATTAACAAAAGAAAATGCAAAGTGAATAAAGAAATCTCAATTAAAGATGAAAATTAAAAACAAGTAGTTAATCTCTGTACCCTATAAGATTATTCAAATTCAAAAACTACAATGGAGAAAGAAAACAAAGCATGTTTATCAGTTAGCTTGCTTAACATTTTCTGATTATAACTAAACAAAGTACCGTTGAGGCTGATGGGAATGTCATTTTTGCAGGTATTTGGTCACAAACTAAAGTATGACCTGATCGACCAACAAAACTATATACATGCTAAGCACATTAACTTAAATCATTATACATACATTATAACTTAAGTTTCAACAAAATAATTGCCTTGCAAAACAATGGACAAACTTCAGATAAAAACAAAATTGTCCAAACATCAGGTAAGTCTGGTATATCAATATCTCAGCTATATGTCTGTTCAGAGCAGAGTCATCGTCACTTGTGTAAACAGGCAACAATTAACTAGAGTTCAGCGTGATTATGTTCCACAACAACCTTGCACTTCCCTGTTTCCTAGTATTGTGTCCCCTCATAAATGCAACATGAGACCTCAAAACAAACAACAAATACGTCAGTCTACATGGCCTGTAAATACTTCTTTACATTCTGCCAAAAGATCTGCATCTGCCATGTGACATTGAAATTTGAGAACACAAGACTGCCTTTGCCTGTAGTTGCTCGCATATCCCTAGCAAATAAGAGTGTACTTATACTATGTAAATTATAATGCATTCAACACTTACTATGGTACCTTCATGAAGAGAAAGGCAAACAGCTTGAATGTGCAATAGTCAAACGTCTACTATGGCTGTTTTCAACTCAAGAGGGGAAAGGTCATGAACCAAAGTAGCTTATAGCTACTCTAACCTTGACAGGAAAAATATGACGAAAGTATTCACTGATGATTTACCTGAAACACAACACCTAGTTCTTCTGTTTTCACAACTCCTCTTCAACCAATTTTCTGTTCTTTGAAATCCAGTACACCACTTTCAGAAGCACCATTTCCACGGTGTTTTGATACTTAATTCAACCCTTCTCTCATGCACTACTTTAATCTCATTGGTTGAGCTGGACTGGGGAGTGGACAAGCATGACAAATGCTTTGTAAGACCACACAGGCTTAAAGTCGTGTTGTCACCGCTGACTGTGGGACTGGAAGTCTAAAATTAGTGAGGGGTGTGATAACTTCAGGGGCTCAGTGAGCCGATGTTAGCTGCTCCTTGAGTCACAGCACCACACAACTCCCTCAAAATAGGGATGGGAAACTGGTCACCTGCTCTGTAATTCATAGAAACTACACAGACCACAACATGTGATACAAAACAACTACAAGTCTTCCTTGGTTAGTTGATGCTTTAGTTGATGATAAAATGTGGTTAAGCTTTAGATTACAGACCAAAATTAACAGTGTTTATACAGTATTTTCCACAAAAATACATGTAGATACAAGTGAAGTATGGGAGGCTGGGGGGAGGGGGGAGGGGGGGGGGGGTGCTAGAACGAAATTACACTGTAAGTAGCCTACTTTTTAATTTACCCTGTACATGTTGAGTAATTAAGAGTTCCAGAGGGCCTTGCATAGATTGTATGACCAGCTATGTCATGAAAAGGCACTTGGGTTAGTTAAAAATACCTTGGTAATATATATATATATATAATATTCCCTGTAACTACTCTGTTGTTACATTTAAAAGGGCTTGAACAAGGGAGTACTTGAGTTAATTGTCATACTTTGTAACTATACTGTAATTCATTAAACAATACTGTAATTAAAAGTGAGTGAACAATGGAATAGTTAATTTCATTTTACATAACCTACATAACAAAACAATCATGTTTTTTTATCTAGCTATATAATTTATTTTTTTTTAATATTATAATTTATACTATAAATAATACATATTATTTTCTAACACAATTGTTCCTGCCTTGTTACCCAGTAAAAACTGTACTCTGCAATTATTAAATAGGTCATTTTAATTAAAAATCTTAAAAAATACTGTCTGCCTTATATCAGAGTGTTTTGCAAACATCACTGTCCTGTGGTCACAACTCATAATCATTGACAAGCACACACTGTTTGCACTGCATTACAATGCATTGATGAAACATACGACATTAGAGGTTTTTGTGGGATTAAAAACTGTGTCTGTTATTGGTCCACCCAGCACACAGGAATTATTTGCCAAGAGTAATTCACTGAAAAATATTATGTCAGTTAAGTCCGTTTTGTTTGTTGAGTTTCCTTTGTCTGACACATGAAATAGATTTCACCCAGTTCTATAACAATCAACTGAACCCATTATTCTGCTTATATCTGTTATATATCTGGCAACTGAAATGAGGTTAATCATTATGACTGCCTTACAACATAATTCCTAAGGAACAATTTCACTCTCACAGCTGATATTATTTTAGACTTACAATGACATCTAGTGGCAGCTTCCTGACAGTTTGGTTCTGTATGTGCTTTTGAATGAACCTATCTGATACGCTGCGTGGGACAGGAAATTGACTGTATTTGCTTCATCGATTTTCTCTGTACTGTGTATTTGTCATAGTATGACATGTCTTATATAGAGTACACCATTATTATCTCTGTGTTTTGCAGTATATCTTTTTTTTGATATCTAAAGTTTCTTTTGTTTGCTCATCTGTCATCTTACCAGTGTTCCTACAAGAAGAACAATCAGACAAAGCTAAAAAGCTCAGAGTTCTACATGATGAGAATACAAAGATTAATTATCACATAATTCCTGAGAAAATTTTGTTAATCACTGAGCCATTATAAATATTTTAAAAAATATTCTACATAAATTTGTACTATTCAGGGAATTTATATTGCAATCAACATCTCTATTACTGTCATAATTTTCATTTTTGGATCATTTTTAGTAGATGTTTTCATCACTTTAAGTGAATTAACTAGAATGTTTAATCCGAGTTTTTCAAGTAAAGAAATTGTGCATTAAATTATGGTTTCACAACATACATATTTAATCTTTGTCTTCAAACTTTTCCAGAAAGGGTTTATAATAAACCAATGGTTAAACAGGACAAACCATGTCGTATTCATCCAGTTCATCAATTAACTTGTTATTTTTTCTGTGTTCAAGTCAGTGTCTTTTCTTTTCACACCGTCCTGTGGTGCACTCCTCCCCACGTCCAGTCCACTTTAAGCGGTTCCTGGCGAAGATGGCATAGGACTTGTCCATAAATGGTCTCAAAAGTGGTGACATCATTAAGCGGCCCAACCAGCCAAGGCCCACTGCACTGTACATGACTGCAAATGCTGGGATCCCACAGTGAACCTGCAAATACACAGGTGGTTAAGGACTCACATAATACTACATATGTGCTAATCTGCTAAATTAATCCAAAATGGCAACTTGAATATTACAATCCTAGTAAAGTCAATGGAATCTAAGTTTACCTCGTCTTTCTCATCAATTACATGCATTTCCTCCATGGCCATCTCATAACTGATGTCCTTGTATTTTGCTCCATCATATCCTGGCTTGGAGATATCGATAAAATTTACTTTCCCAGGGTGGTTCCTCTGCAGAAACTGGAGGAAACGGATTTCTGTCACACATATGGGACAAAGCCCATCATACAGCACCTGAAACAGAGCATGATATGGGATAGATGACAACCGGGACATTTCACTCATTCAAGTGCACAATTACTACAGTGAAGTGGCCTCTTTTGAGGCATTTATTGACAACCAGTCTTACTGAGACCATTTCAATATTTACTGTATTGTGTACAAATATTGATCTCTAATTCTGCATAAATATGGCTTACAAAGTGTTTGAGCCAGGTTTGTCCCAGTACTAATTCTAGACAACCACTGTTCTGTCTAAGGGGGACAATAAATAATAGTGTGAAAACTATACTGCCCTGGAGCTCAACATAAAATGGAATGAGAGCCAAAATTATTCATATTACAACCATATAAGTTTTATTGTTTTTTATTACACTAATTAAATTGAAATGTCCAGAAAATGAAAAATCAAGACAATTGAATTAATGAAAATTAATGAATAAAAAATGAGAGCAAATGAAAATGACAATCCTCAGTTTCACAAGGGATTACCTGATTAACAGGATAATATTTTATCAGTGCTTATGTTACTTCAAAGACAACTGCAAATTACTTCAATACTTATTTGGTATAGTTAACGTGTAGTGGTATGAAATCCATTTCACCAGAAAAATCAAAAGTAGCGATTGATAAAAAGAAACTCATGTTAAATGAATATTATATTAACATGTTCGCCCACTTATGGTAAGTCATACGTGTCAGTCTTAACTTTTGCTGCGGAACTTAAGTTAATGCTACAATTTAGGATAACTCAGGACAGGACAAACTGCTGCTAGGCCCTAGTGGTCCAGATTCAGAGCTTTTAAGGTGACAAGCTGCTTAAACAGGAAGTACTCAACTGCTACATAGCTAGATGCTAAAATCAACACATCAGAAATATTAGCACTGAACATGACTGCATGCAGTCGGACTGTTTTCCCATGGACAGACCAGATGCAGCCTACTACTCTGTTTGTCTTTTGCAGCCACAGAAATGACAATCCACTTACTCAACCACTTGAATGTACTAAAGCCTCTCAGCAGGGAACATTTACCATTCAACATCCAGCTATATGCCCATTTCCACCATACTTTCTCAAAATAATGACACATAGCATCTCTAAATAATGACTTACCAATTTCAAAATATTGACTTAGCATCTCAAAATAATAATGCACAGTATCTCAAAATAACAGTATCTGTTAGTATCTTATGTCATTGTTTTGAGAAACTAAGTCATTTTTGAGATGGCCAATATTTTGAGAAGGTTTCTCGTTATTGAGATACTATGTCATTATTTTGATAAAGCTTCTCATTACAATGACTTACAGGATCTCTTTTTATAATCAGCACAGTGGCAGTTAGGCAGCTGGTAAAAAAATAAAAGTTACAGCCATGCCTACAAGCATACAGCTTACAGAAAACAAAAAACCCAACAAAGTTTGCCTATAGTGACGTTAACTACCTATCCTGCCAACGCTGCAGCAGTTATGTTACTAAGTCAATTACAAAATAAAATCAGAACTGTTTGGTATTATAGTCAGTAACGTTTACACACAGAGAGGCTTAAGTTACCTTGACATCTGCAGACTCAGAGCTGAAGTTGCGATGCTGGTGTCTGCGGAGGGCTGGTGGCAATCTTACTGCCACCCTTGAATTTACACAACTGGGCAAAATGGTCAAACATATTCTCACTTTGTTAACGTTAAACATCTGCAAAAGCACTGAACCAACCTCAACGGCGAACCCGCGATTAGCTACACCGGCTACTAACTAGCTAGGTAGCTACGCAGATATAGCTAAGTAAGCTAACAGTCCCAACGTTTAGCACGTGACTTTAACGTTGCCAAGCGGTTTAGTAACTTAACAGAGGTCACGCGCAAACGTTTTTCAAAACAAACGGTATACAAAGACGTTAGTGTCCAGCAAATGTTATCTCGCGCCTCACATTTGCCTGTTTAGACAAAAACACAGTTAAATTCATACGAACTGAAAATCTACAATTTAGTAACACCAGCTAAATTAATCCGAGGCGTGGTGAGTGTGTGACTGCTGCCGCTTGAGGTCCCACTCTGCTGCCTTTTACTTGCACATTACTTTAAATGTGAGTGGAACAAGAACAAAGCTCAATTCCCAGCCCCGATGTTTAAAGATACCGTATTCTGTTTCTCACATGGGAATATCTTTTGTTAGTATTTTGAGAAACCTGAAACATCATACTGAGGTTTTCTGTACATATTCAAGATAAATTGGCATCTGTAAGTTTACTGGCAGCGGTGGAAGAAGCAGGCTAACGTTATCCACGGGGGTGTTAGTGGGGGTTAGAGTACTAGTCCCGTTGAATATTATTTCATTTATGAAGAGTAAACTTATAATAGCCAATTATAATATATGACATTGTATTAACAACATTTGGTTTAATGGCGAGTGTAACGTACGATGTTAAATATATTAAAAACGCTTTTCACGCAATTCTGAAATTAAATAATTTTCTTTAGACATTATGAAAAGATTTCCTAATGTCTAAATAGCGTTCCCTGGCTCTATAAAAAACAGCGCAGCATTGACTTGTGCACTATTATGATGATTCAATGATTAAAGAAGAAAGAAAGAAACACTTTAAATACAAAATGTCATATTAGGCTGCATGTAGATATTGTAGTCAGTTAAGTTATTTTAATGAAAATTAAGAACTGTCTAAACTTATTAATACTAGCCTAACAATTTTGAAAATACTAAATTAGTGGAATTTGTAAATCTAGAGTTTCAACTGTGCATCATTTCAAAGTTAAGGAGAAGGGCCAATATGACTGGGGTACCCCTTTACTGCACATGTTGTATTTTCTGTAAAAACACACTAGAGGTCAGTGCTACCCCATGTTTAGTTGGGGATCCTGTTATAGTATTTATTTCACCCTCATTTTCAGTTATAGAATTATGCTCTGTTAGTTTGTTGAGTTGTATTTTGTTAAGTTTTTTTGACACCCCCTAGTGGCTTTTTTGTTCCCTTTAAGTTTTAGTATATATTTATCACTATTTTCACTATTACATATTGTAAGCACATGTAGAACAAAAGAAACACGCAGTGTAAAATTAAAACACAACATTAGTTGTCAAAAACCTTGTTAATTTTGTGACTGACTTTTGTCAACTTCAGATGGATATTTCCTCTAAGATGTTTGTATAAGTGAAAAGTGTGAAGTCAACAGCTGTCAGAGTATGCACACAGAAAATGCACTTTTTAATTAGGTCATTTAGTAGAAAGCCGAAGTCATATCATTTAGTAGTACGGTATCCAATATTATAGGCCTATGCTTTCTGCATTAGTCACTTTATGAAATGTCACTTATGAAGTCTTTCACCTGGATTCACCTGGATTAAATCAAACCCAGAGTACTGTATAAAGATACCATTAGCTAATTCATTAATCAGTTCTAAAAAAAAGCACACATATCACTTCCTCTCTTCAGGGCTAAGCTCCAGGTGTTTGAAATGTCTATACAAGCCCCTGCCACAAACACTCTGTTACAAGTAAAAGTCATGCATGTTACTTATGTAAAAGCACAAAGATAATAGCACCAAAATACACTTGTATGTAGGGAAAGTTATTATGAAGAATAGCCAATTTTAGATTAATTAAAGTAATGATTGATTGTGCAAGCATCACTGTAAGGTTGCAGCTGGTAAATATGTAACTAATTTTAAGAATCAGAATCAGAAACACTGTATTGATCCCCTAGGGGAAATTCTTTTGTCACAGTTGCACACTTATCAAGGCATCAGAAATAGAAAAATAATAATAGAAAGTAGGTAGAACAAAGAGTATATAAATATGAGAGTATAAATATAAGATATAAAGAAAAACATAAACGAGTGTGGGTATTTACTATATTTACATTATTAAAGAATCAATATGGTATTAAAGAATTATTATGATGAACAGTAATACTGAATAAATAGCAGTAGTGTCAGCCTCTAAGTGTCAGCCACTTAGAGGGAGGAGTCATAGATGGCCACAGGCAGGAACGGCTTCCTGTGGTGCTCTGTGGTACATTTTGGTGGATGAGTCTTACACTGAAAGTGCTCCTGTGTTTGAGCAGCACATCATGAAGTGGGTGGGAGACATTGTCCAAGATGACATGTAGTTTGGACAGAATCCTCCTCTCTGACACCACCGACAGAGAGTCCAGCTCCACCCTCACAATGTCACTGGCCTTGCGGATCAGTTTGTTGAGTCTGTTAGCATCCGCTACCCTCAACATGCTGCCCCAGCATGCACCAGCAAATAGGATAGCACTGGCCACAACAGTCTCATAAAACATCCTGAGCATTGTCTGGCAGATTTTGAAGGACCTCAGCCTCCTCAGAAAAAAGAGACGGCTTTGACCCTTCCTGTAGAGGGCTTGGGTGTTCTAGGCCCAGTCCAGTTTATTGTCAGTGTGCACTCCCAGGTATTAATAATCCTCCACAATGTCCACACTAGCCCCCTGGATGGAAACAGGGGTCACTGGTGCCTTGGCTATCCTTAGATCCACAACCAGCTCCTTAGTGTTTGTCACGTTGAGCTGCAGATGGTTCTGCTCACACCATGTGTCAAAGTCACCCATCAAAAACCTGTACTCAGTGTCAGCCCAGGGATCAAGAAAGTCTAATCTTAATCTATAATATAATAGTCATTCAGTCATCAGAATTTATTATGTTTTATCTTATCAATCTGAAAGTAGAAGAAAATGGAAATGCTTAAGTACAAGTAGCTTACCTCAAAAAGTACGGTACTTGAGTTAATGTACTTAGTTACTTTCCATCACTGTTGGCTAGCAATATTTATATAAGCCTTTTTCATGATTCTTCTTCATTCTGAATAGCTGAAAAGTGATACTGGGTTTTATGTTCATATTCCAATCTAAATGGGTGTAATGGCTAACACAATTTGAGTGCTTCATCATTTTAATGAAGATAAAAGACAGCAACAACCAAAGCTCCCACGAGGCTTTGACAGCACATCTGTTGCCAATACCCAACTGTTTTGTTGGGTGAATGCTAACAAAACAAGTTGTCTCTTAAAATGATGAGGTGGTCTTTTTAGCCTGGGCAGACGCAGATACTAATTTATCTCAGAATATGGACAGAAAACTTCTTGTTTCAAAATTACCGCTCTCTATGGAGAAACACTTAGCATATCATCAAAGACGTCTTTCATGACACACACCCTGTACTGTTTTCAGCCTTGTGAGAACACAAATTTTTTTGTGTACAGGAAAAGTCAAGAAAAGTGGAAAATATTTTGGATGTAGCCCTTGACGTGCCTTGGTCTCCTCAATAGAACCTTTTGACAGCACACATTTTGATGTGTCATAGTGGGAAAAGCAGGTGTTAATAACATTATACTGTAACAATGGCTCGGTTAAATTCAATGTCCCAGTAAGCAATGACAGTCTGACAGTGAAACCTAAGCAGCTAAAAGGAATTCAATATGACATTGTCAACCAGTGGTTGTATTAGACCATTGCTGGAGATGAATTAATGAGCAAGACTACTTTATGACAATAGTGCATTAATATGACTTCTGTGGCAGTGTGATGAAGTACCTTGATATATCAGGTATTTAATTCACTACATTAACCAAACACACTCCAATCTGCTTATTTTATCTTTAAATAGTTGAATTTCTGTGAAATTGACCATTTCATGGCATGAATATATTTTCATGAAATAGCGTGATACATGATTTTATCCATTTATCACCCCCAGCACTTGCACACAAGCAGAAACAAACACACACAGACTACAAAGTGCCTCAGCAAAACACACAAAACTTTTAAAACAGATTAAAAACAAAAGGTTGCATTTTTACTTGACAGACATTAGTACTTAGCCTTTTCTGATTTTAATTTTAGCTTTTCCAATCATATGTCCTGAGATCAGTCTATAGCAGGGCTATTGCTTTGTTTGTGTGTGGTCACTTGCATTTATTATGCAAGCACACGTGATGAGATCAAAGGCCTTACAGCAGGGTCTCTCAGAGGGAAAAAACCACAGCCTGGTAGAACAACAGGGTTCGTAGCCTGGGCAATACGGTTTCAAGGATAGTGCAGAGGTGAGCTCTTGTGATATTGTGATATGTAGAATGTATGTATTAGGTAAACTTCAACTTTCAAGGTTTACTTGTCCCTGAAGGGCAGTTGGTTTTTGCAGCAAGATATAGAGACAAGTTCTGCATTATGTGATCATATACCATTGCTTTGAAAATGTGCAGTCGTTATACTCTGTTGATTTCTTTTTACTGTTCTCACTACCCAGCCGGTGAATGGAACATGCCCCCTGCAGCAGCAACCAATCTAAGCTACACCCCACCAGATGGAGGCTGGGGCTGGGCTGTCGTCTTCAGTGCTTTCATCTCCATAGGATTCTCCTATGCCTTCCCCAAGTCCCTCACCATCTACTTTAAGGAAATTCAGGAATATTTTTCAGTTTCCTACAGTCAGATTGCCTGGCTGTCCTCTGTGATGCTCGCTTCTATGTATGCAGGAGGTCAGTATCCATTATACAGTTTAAAAAATTTGACAGCATATTCCATGAACATTTTGACGAAGTAAAGTAAATTTATCAATTCTTTGTCTCCATTTTAAACCTTCAATGAAAGAAGGTATCAAAAAGATAAGATATTTCTCTCTTCTATACAGGACCTGTGAGCAGCATACTTGTCAACCGCTATGGCAGCAGACCTGTGGTTATGGTCGGTGGGGTCATGGTTAGCGCTGCCATGGTGCTTGCTTCTTTTGGCAGTACTATCATACATCTGTATCTTTGCATCGGAGTAATTGGAGGTAAATAATATTATTTTACCATTTTGGATAAGCTAGACTTTATTTAGATTTTGAGGAATTTCACGCTGCTGTTCTTTGTAATGTTTGCTTTACGTTGCTTGGTTGTGACTGGCTGACACAAGAGGACGGTGGTTGTGGCGTAACTCACATTCAGGAGGAGTTTTTCGATTATCAGGGCCAATCCAGTGTTTGTGCAACTGAGTCGGGTCATTCTGTGCCATGTGTAAAGATTTTACTCAAAACACAATGAAATATCAATGCCCTGTTAAAATGGTGCAATCATAACAATACATAGACTTGGGTTAGACCTTATTAAATCAGGCATTTAGAAAATCCCCATGTGCACACACGCATGCTAGACCACATGATTATGCAGAACAGTGAGCAAACAAGCCTCTCAGACTTTAAACTTTAATCTAGTAGAGATGCTCCTCCTACTGTGTGACAG